TCATTCGGCGAAGCGCCTGCATAGCCTGTCGTTTCAATAGATAGGCTCCACCAGGTTAATAGAATATTGATTGATTGATTGGAAATCACTTGCGTTCCTTCTTCAACTCATCACAACAGTCCGAGAATCCATATCAGACCGAGATTTTGGACCTATCCATAACACCACCAAGTACACATCTATAATCGAATGACAGGAATCGTGGTAGTTGTGCACCTGTCCGGTACTTGGCCCTCAAAAAGCGCTCTCAAGAAAGCTCCAGCTCCAGGCAGGCCCGCTACCCTTGCCTGCAAGTGATTCCCATTTTCCACTTTCACATAGGTGATGTTAGTTCTTTCCGCGCAATATTTCTCCACCAAGGCATCTGTGTCTTCAATAGGGACCGCAACCTCGTCCCTGGTTCCTTTCCAAATATAAAGCGGGAAGTTCGGAATACCATGAAGCCCCATCGTCCCAATCGAGTTCAACAAGTCCGCCTGATCATAAACAATCCGATTACCGTTATCAAAGTATGGGATTATGCTCTGGTTAGCATACGGAGCTAAACCGCCTCTTGTACCGCTTGTGCACTGTCGTTTCGTTGAATAAAATTCTGCCGCATGATGCGGAAGCAGATGCCGATTCAAGTACGTCGAAAAGCACGAAAACGTATTCGCGATGCCATTGAAAGAGGCAGAAATCAATCCCGCACTCGGTGTTCCGTCGATTGCGAAAAACGTCTTGGTGGTGTTGGTCGGTAAGCCGCCAATTGCTGCGCCGGAGATTCGAGCATCGGGTGCGTATACCGAATGCAGCTCGCTGGCCCATTCAGTGGCAATCGCCCCGCCTGAATAACCTACCATCGCAGTTTGGGCGTTCGAGCTGATCCCGGTGATTGATCCGGACCTTGTGGCAGCCCGAACTGAGTCCAGAACGGCGTAGCCCGATTGAGTTCCGACTGTGAACGAGGCATTCACGCCCTCATAATCGGGGATGTTGATCGGGATACCCTGGGCAAGGAACATTTGAATCAATGTACCAAGCTCCCCGAAGATTTCCCATCGGTTTGGGGGAACGCCGTCCTGGACCCAGTATGAGGGCGAGCAGTTGTTGTCAGGAGAGTCGTAGGCAATCTGATAGGACAGGAGCTTGTCATTTTTCGCGTTGATTGGGATAATGACTGTTGTTACCGCGTAACTTGGGTCTCCGTGTGCGTTGGTTGTGCGGTATAGGATTTGGTATGCGGAATGTATAAGTGAGAGGTCGATGAGTGTAGAGCCGACGTTCACATTTCGAGACCCAAGGATTGTACCCAGCGTAGATGATTCCCAGGATGTGTTGTTGGGCTTGTAGAATGGGTCCTGACTGGGAAGAATGGGCGGGGTATAACCAAGAGGGTTTTTCGTCACGGGCAGGCTAATGGCAAGCAGCTGGCCGATAAGACCAAAGAGTACTGATGCAGTATACAGCATTTCTTAGAGCTTTCGTAGTAACTGACGATAGCGGGGCGTACGCTTGGCTATAATAGCCGCATGAAATGTTATACCTTTCAAATGGGGCGAGTTCCTCACAAGTCACTCGATCAGAATGCCCTGAGACTATAGACCTTGGCTAGTATACCTGAATTAATGGCAACTGGCCCCTCGAAGAAGATTGTTTTCTCGGTGAGATTGAACAAGATTGGAGATAACGATCATGTAAATCTATCACTAGACATTTGATGAAGTTTGCTTCCCATTCAATATGACGGGGCATTGTAACGCTTTTATGTCTTTGATAGCTCAGGGTTGATGTAGGTGACCCGCGGGGGCATGTGAGGTGTGTAACCCTAACCCACCAAATGACCCGTTGTCTTCTGATCAGATTAAGGCTACTATACCACCTGTCCTCAACTGTTAGGTGAGGTTCCATTATCCTGATTCCCTGTATGGTCGTTCTGTTCCTAACCGCAAGATTCGAATTCAGCCGAGGCTGTTTTAATGTTAAAAGAAACAAAGAAAAAGTTTATCTGAAGTTTAAATGGCCGAACACGAGTTAATCCCAGATTACAGGATACTTTCAATACGACTCCACTTGATCAAAGAGAAGATGTAGAATGTTCTGGCTTAAGACGAGCAATGTTTAACCCCGCAAATACCGTCTATTAGCTCCGTATGACTCGATATAGGTCTATCCAAGACACCGCTTCATTGACTTGTTTTCGGGCCGAGGTCAAGGCCTAGATGGCACGACAGGTACAGGCGTAGTCGGAACTAGGGCCATTTCATGCTAAAAGATAACCTCGACGCTAATCACCAGACCTCTTAGAATACCGTAGAATACAGGTGAGAGTGGGAAAAACCCCGCGCTCTAGCGAGACATCAATTCTAAGCAAACACAAATACTCGTCCAAATCAATCCGACAAGGATCAACAACAGATGTACATAGCCACTTAGACTTAAACGCCTGTCCATCATCCGGCATATCCGAAGACAGAACCATGGTTCTGGCATGGTCTTCCATCGGTGGCCTTATTCCCATCATTATTAGCTAACCCGTAGCTAATGATACTCCACGAGATTGATTTAATAACCCCTTCTTTAATATTGCATCCGGCTTTAACACTAGTGACAAGGAGGGCTGCAATCGATGGAAAAGTGGGGTACAGGGTGCGGTGTACCACAGTACATACTACTTATGTACACTACAAAACGCCTCTTGATAAATTGTGGCTGGTAGTGGGTCTAGCAAGGGATGCATCACTTGAGACTCCTCGCTTTGTGCTATTGGTATTGACTTCGCCCTTTAATTATCCATGAGTATGAATATGCTCTATACCGAGGTAAATTTGACATTTCAAACATTGTAATCAATGAATGATAGATCCCTGGATGGACGAAAAGTCCATGTCCCCCGAGGTTCAAAGTTTCTACAGTGCCGCCTACCCCTCAGTAACCAACAGTCGGCGCCCAGCCAAGAGATGCCTGTCAAGCCACTCACATCCGACAACAGTTCTATTATGCCGGTAGATGTGTGATTCTGTGAAATATCCCCCCCAAGGTGCCACAAAATACCCACTTAGTGAGCGATAGTACTAGTAGTTGATGGCGCAGATTCACTTCATTTCGGATAACACGTTGGGAATATTTAGATCACAGCCATATTTACACTGTACTTCTAAGGTCCTGCTCCCTCTGTCCCGCACCCACTTACTACAACCCAGATGCAACACTGTGCTCGTGCTCTACAAATTGTTGTCTCAACAAGGTCCTACATAAAACCATAGAAGGACGTGTGATCTCGTCCAAGATATTCTCCGACCGCAAGCAGAGATATTGCAGGATCTGTACCCGCCAGTAAAAGACAAAATTCCCACTTTGTTTGTATGTTTCTTTGTTTATCTTGGACTCATTCCTTCTCATTTCTTCGATCCAGCAAGCGCATAGACAAGCGAACATCACCATGCGTTTCTTTGTCCTCGTTCTTTCATTCGTCGCTACCACAGTTACAGCTTGCACGCCCAAAGGCCAGCCCTGCGACCCTCAGACTTCATGCTGCTCGAAACTTTGCATGACGCAGAACGAACCCAACTCTGACAACCCGAACGGCACTTGCGCCTAGGAAGATGTACCGAGAAAGGGCTGAATTTGTTGGATAGTGAAGTGAAACTCACATGGTGGGTAATTGTGGGATTAGTAAAATGGACAATTTCTTAACTAACGGCTAGGTATTAGTGACCAGCTTGTTGCCATGGACCAAAAAAAAATCAGTTCTCCTGTCAGTCGTAAATCATACGTATAAAGTGCATACCGGGCTGGCGAGTGTTTGATTAACTGCTCATAGAAACCTAACCAACTACGTGGTTATCGTGTTGCCCACATGATTTCTGCGTAAATATATATCTCTAGTGCCTAGAAGGATTAAAGGTGGAAAGCAAACGGTGCCCAGGAGCGGTAATCAAGCCTGGTTGACGGCGTTAACACCCTGATATAATGATTATTACTATGCAGTATAGAAAGAATATCAATTCAGAGCCATAATTCGGACGCTGTTGAGGAAAAAGAGATCGTCCTAAGTTGTGTGTACCTGAAAAGGGGTAGACAAATGTGAATGCCTGGCAGGTTGCAACCTCAGGCATTCAACAAGGTATGTGCCAAGAGCTCCTGCTGCCAACACAATTAATTCAATTTGGATGACAGGGACCACTGCCAGAGTAAAACTGGCGAATAATGAAATCCGACAACCTTGCAATGTATTTGAAAAAGATCTAGTGCTTACAGAAGAAAACTGCAATTGGTACGGCGAAAAGGCCAGGATTTGGGGGTGTGCTGATGCCGCCCGCGGAGACCGCGGAGACCACGGAGGCCACGCTTTCCGTTTGTTGTATAAGAAGGATCTCAGTGTTACTGACCTCTTATGCGCGAGAAAGATTAAATTCCGGGGTTCTTCCCAAGATCAGCCTTCTATCTCTTTTCTCTTTGTATCTCGGACGACTATTTCCTATATTCAAGGACCCTTTACCATCCAGTGTGGTGGGGACGACCGCCAGCAATCTCCTAGATACGGAATCACTAAGCTCGCTCAAAGACACGAAAAAATCATGGCTCAAGGCCGAGAGGCTGTTGAAAAATTGAAATCTAGCGTGAATGGTCACTCTACTGGGAGTGTTGAAGACTTCGCCAATGAACACATCACCGGAGGCTGGAGACCCGGCATGGATCCAAAGGTCGACTATTCGGGCCATTTCGAGTTCGGTGGCTCCTTGGGAAACCTCGCTGCGATGATCGGGTTTCCTTTATTGATGTATTACATGTGGACTGGAGCTACCTTTTATGACGGACATCTGCCGCTTCCAGAAGAGGGTCAATCTTGGGCTGCTTTCGCAGGACATCTATTCGATCTGGCCTATGACTACGCGTTTCCTAGTCTTAGGGCATGGAAGATTTACTGGGTCTATTATATCTTTGAAGCAGTCTGCTACATCCTCATGCCTGGCTTCACCTGCTACGGAAAACCCTTACTACACGAGGGTGGTAAGCAGCTGAAATACCACTGCTCGGCCTTTACCAGTTTCTACCTCACTATTGTGGTCATGGCTGTGTTGCACGTCACCAAACTCTTCCCGATCTATACCTTTCTCGATCTATTCGGGCCTATCATGTCCGTTGCAATCATTTCTGGCTTCCTTGTCAGCTTCGTCGCGTATTTTTCCGCCTTCGCGCGTGGCGCCCAGCACCGCATAACCGGTTACCCGATCTACGACTTCTTCATGGGTGCTGAGCTGAATCCCCGACTATTCGGCATCCTTGACTTCAAGATGTTCTACGAGGTGCGCATCCCATGGTTCATCATGTTCGGGCTCAGCAGCGCCGCAGCGGCCCGCCAATACGAACAGTACGGCTACGTCTCCGGCGAGGTCCTCTTCATGGTCATGGCGTATTTCCTATATGCCAACGCCTGCGCCAAGGCCGAGCACTTGATCACTACGACCTGGGACATGTATCAGGAGAAAATGGGGTTCATGCTCATTTTCTGGAACATGGCAGGCGTGCCGATGTCATACTGCCATGCTGTCTTGTACCTCGCGAACCGTGACCCCGCTACCTATGCGTGGAACAAATACGCTCTAACAGCTCTCTTTATTTCGTACCTATTTGTCTACTATGCCTGGGACACAGCGAACAGTCAAAAGAACTCCTTTAGAATGATGGAGCGCGGCACGTTCGTGAAGCGCAAAACGTTCCCGCAACTTCCCTGGCAGGAGGTCAAGTGCCCCAGGTTCATTCCTACCAAGACGGGTGACAAAATCCTAGTGGATGGATGGTATGGTTTGGCGCGCAAGGTGCATTATACGTGTGATATGTTCTTTGCGTTTTCGTGGGGGCTTATAACGGGGTTCGACAGCCCGTTCCCTTGGTTTTATCCGGTATTCTTCACTGTGGTGATTATGCATCGAGCAAACAGAGATATCAATAAGTGTCGGAGAAAGTATGGAGATGCATGGAAGGAGTACGAGAAGCAGGTGCCATATCTCTTTATTCCGGTGAGTTTGAAATTACGGGTTCCAGCAATCAGGTGAAGGGTCCATGCTAACGGATTGACAGTATGTCATTTAATTCAATTAACTTAGAGTAATACGAATAGATATGAGAAAAAGGTATCAGGACATATCTAGTTTAGTGTGTTCAGGTTAGAAATACCCATCAGAAATTGAATTGTAAAATAAAGCTGTTTGTATTGAGATAGTGCTAATAGAGCATGCTCTTGAGATAAAGCTTAGTATCGCTGTTCATGACTAATGGGATGCAAGGAGAGGAGGGAAAAACTAGAGAAAAGAAAATCATATCAATTAATCAGACGACTTTTCTAAGCTCATCTAGACACCATTAAGCCCGTTCCTTTGCACGAAACAGAATCTCTGCCTTCGGATCAGGTAGCTGATTAGTTTGAAACAGGAGCCCCTTCGGCCTCTGCCCTCCTTTCAATTTCAGCTCAAAGTTATCAATGACCTTAGCCAAAACCAATTTGATCTGGTAACTCGCAAACCACCGCCCAGGACACGCATGTCGCCCACTCCCGAACTGCAATTGTGTCTTGGTAATTGACGTCAACTGATGCTTGTTTTCCTCGTCCACTGAGCTCTGGCGGAGATTGAAGAATCGCAATCCATTGAACGTGTTTGCATCAGGGTAGATAGCATCGTCGAAGTTGACGGCGTTAGCCGGAGCCAGTGTGAATGTACCCGGTGCGATGGAGGTGCCGTCGGATAGGGTGATGGGACGGAGTGTCTTTCGTTGGAAGGTTGCTAAACAAATATGAGATAATGTCCACGGTCACAGAAAAGTAGCAAAGGAGAATGAAGGTAGTGAAATACCTGTCAGATGACCATTAAACCGCAACGTCTCCTTGACGAAACTATCTAGTTTCTTCAACTTCCCCATATTCTCAAGTGTGAATTGCCCCCCGTTTTCGCTCCGTACGGAATCTATCTCTTCCTGAAGAATGCTCATGTACTCAGGATACGTGGCTAGATTAAGCAGGGAGTTAGTCAGGAGCTGTGTGGTCGTGTTCACCGAAACCGCGCCAATTCCCAACTGAGAGATGGCATGGAAGAGCGGATCATTCCGATCAGGTTCGGGAACCAGGTCTCTGAGCCACTCGATCGAATCATTTGGCTTTTTATAATCTTCCTTATTTTCGTTGTTCTGTCGCTCTCGCAGAATTGGTGACAAGAGCTCTTGTGCTTTGCTGTTGCAATTCCAGACGGTTCGTAGCTCAGGGATGAAGAACTGCACGAGGGGGCGGAGCCAGGGGTGGAAGAAACGGAGCTTCGCGGACGAAAGGAATATGTTTTTCGTGTACTGCAAAAGATTAACATATTAGATTAAATCAAGGGACGCACAAAATATATAGGGAGAGTAGAGGTGGGACTTGCGTTGCAGCTTATGTTAATCCATTCCTCGGTCTGGTGCAGCGGGTTTCCGACGAAAATTCTTCCGTTGACGCGACTGACGAGACGTAGGATCTTGGGATACACCGGAATTGAATACCAGTCTACTGTATCTTAGTTCATGTTCATATTAGAGTTTGAAAGGGTCTTATCGGGTTGAGTTGCTGAGATGCGCATACCTTTGCTCTCCGGAAACTCAAGAGGAAATACAGTATTAACTTCGTCACGCATTTCGGGGAATATCCTGCCTATTGTGTACGTTAAGATCAGTTATTTCGTCTTCTCGGACCACGTTTCAAACCCGAAAAAAGTACTGACCCATGCTCTTATTCAAATCATTCTTCATAACCACATGTCCATAGTCCAGTTTTGACACCTCAATTGGCCATAGATACTTATGTAAAAAGAACTGAAGCGCGGTTAATACCACTCATATTTAATCGTATTAGTGGAAAGAACAACCGAGGGTATTCTTACATGGCGAAGCGCAGATGGAAATGTATGATCCGGAAGCATCTTTAACTCATCGACGTAGTCCGGTGGAATAACTACCTGCTCTCCTTCCGTTGTCCAGATTCTAAACGGCTTGCCGTAGAACTGAAGAAATGTTAGAGATGCTTGAAGGAAAAGAGTTGGGGTTTATTGATTACTTTCTGGTACCCCTCCTGGAGCAGGTTCACGGAGTCGTAAAGCCATCTCTTCTTCCTATTCCCAGCATCGGTTTTGTCCGGAGTGAATAGGGCGGCGGACGAGGTTTGTGATGAATGAGGGGTGACGAGAAAGGTGTAGACGAAAAAAGTCAAGGCAAGTCCGAGTAGAATGAAAGGGATCGGTGGGCTGAAGTCGAGATAGAATGGTGCGAGGAGTAGAGAAGGCATGGTAATGAATTTGCGTATGATGCTGTTGGCCTACACGGAGGAAGACATGGATGGAAAGAAAAACCTCAGATCTTAGTTATCCTAGCCAGTTCTCTTAGACAAATTTGAATAAAGCAAGAACTGACAAAAGAAAAATGGTAGTCTTGAGAGTTTGCACACAGTATGACCTGAGGCAATGATTAGGTGCTTGACTCCAGCTACAAAATCCTAAGCTGACAACCTGACCGTATAGCTCTTTCGCAAAAGCATCTGAGTCTCGTGAGAGAAAAGCGTCAAGATCCCTTACCCAATAAAATCATTTACATTACCTTTTTTGAGCACAGTGTCTGCTTGGCTGAGTCGTATTTACCTGTCTAGGTATACCCCTTGGATGACACTATAATGAGATCGGTTGCCTCGACTCCGCGGAACCTCTTTGAAAAATACGCAACTAACAGTATTTTCCATGGTTATCATCTTCGAAAAAATACGTACCGCCTGAATCCGTCCAGGCGGTAAGGCATTTCCACCAACCATTTCCCCAGAGGCTGGGCGGTCAAGGAAGTAGAATACGAATCGACATATTACTGAGGTATTACTGCTCCACAGGAATACCCTCCTTGGATGTCCCAAGCTCAACGCCAGGAATGCTTATCCTCTAAACTAGCCCGTAAGCACTAACCGGCAAGAATGAGACCCTCTTTCCGAGGATATTGTCAATCTTCGAAACCGATTGGGTTTCAGATCTCCTTACCAACATGTTAGGGTGTCCACATTGTATCACGTACTCACTCTGTACTACCTAAGATTCTCACGCTTATTGTACTCCGTACTCCGTTTTTAGGTATTAGGGCGGCTTACGGACCGGGTGTGATGGGCCCGATGCTTAGCATAGCCATTCTCCGCAGCTGTTATCGCTCAATAGCCAATGATCGTTAAATGAATACCTCGGCCGAGTGTACGGGAAAATTAGTGGGTCAGTCTTCCTCCCTTATCGACGTATTGCAGAGCAGCTCCCGGTGAATGGGTCGAGGAATGGATACTACATTCCCGATATGATGTATCGAGACTTTCCCTTCCTAGGAAGTTATTGAGCAGAGGCGCTATTCCGGTGTAGGGATAAATCGAGCACGGAGTATTGTACTCCGTACCTACCTACATTGTGGCGGGAAGACATATCGCCACTTAATATGTTTATTTTAGTTGGGGGCCGAAAGCTAAGAAAGCCAAGTTGCATCCACGTTGCTTGTCTTGACAAGCTTCATCTACGGGTGGAGTCTCGGCAGCACTTGCAATATTATGATATTGAATCAACACACGGAATTGACCATGATAGTGAAGAGCCACGATCTGACCCGTTAAACATATTAAGGCCTGTAGAGCTTGGAAGGATTGTGTGTGGAATAAGTATAACATAGAAAACCGATGAATATGGATAATCCAGTGTAATATTATGGACCAGTCTACTCAGACGTCAAGTGAACTACAGTACGTGCGATCCTGATTAATCCTTACTTCAAAACTTACTGTAACAGTACACTACTACCTAAGAGAGCCTCGCTCAATTTTAAGATGTCTCATTTGAGAACACATAGAGCGAATGTTGATTGGACGGGGAACTTTGCGCTTCTGCATGAGAATGGATCTTCTAGTTCGCGTGAACAAGGGGTGTCAGATTGATCCGAATAGCCACGGAGTACGGAGTACGGAGTAGGCATTGAATCGCTCGTCTATTTCACCATTGCTACCTTGACTCGTGTACGCAAATATTGGTTATATCCTTCTAGAATTGCGAAAGATCCACTCTATTGGCTGCGGAGGGATTCCGTCTGGGGGCCGATAAGTGGGTCAAATTGTTTCTACTGAGTACATCAATGACAGCTAGAACCGCGGCTCTTCGTGTGACACAATATCTTAATTTGGAGAAAGCTTTGTACTACCTACCAAAACGAGTTAATAGTATCCAAATTCATTTCTTACGTGAGAAGGATTATATTTGGCCCCGATTACACTGGAGCGTTTTATCAACACAATTAGGAAAGGTTTCAGATACGGAGGGAATATCCGATGAGAAGAATTGTTGGGGCGTATGAGATAGCGTAATAAGACATGCTTGGTAAAGAATGAGCAGTTTAGCAATTGAAAGGATGTTTAGGTGAGTCTGAATGGAGGAGAAGGTCTACGGCTCAAGACACAACCTAGGATCCTATATTACATCACTTTTCTCTGCGCGGTTGCTAATCATTGCGGTCAATACTCTATCACTATCTACTCCATACCCTTACATTTCTTCACAATAAAAGCTCGACGAGGCTGTTCATTTGATAGCAACAACCACTCGCAATACTACTAGGTCTTTACCAACCTCTCAAAAGCCCCCGTTTGCTGCATTACCTGAATTTACTAACATCTCTTGCTGTCAATAGAATCTCACCTACCGCACTATACGGTCTTAAACACAACCATCTATTACTACAATGGGCATTAACGGTGGCACCAACGGCCTAGCGCCTGCCAATAATACCAACGGGATCAACGGAGTTAACGGGCATCATGAGACAAACATCATGAGCGATCAATCAAATCCCATCATGCCCGATTCTAAACAAATTTCATCAGTCCCAATCGCGATCTGTGGCATGGGAATGAGACTTCCTGGAGGCATCCGAAACGACAGAAACCTATATAACTTCCTAATAAACAAAGGCGACGCTAGGTCAGTCATTGGGCAAGACCGATTCAATGTGGACGCATACTACAGTCCTCATGGGAAGCACGGGACGATAAGCACCAAACATGGCTATCTCATCAATGATGTTGACTTCTCAAAGTTTGACTTGTCTATGTTCTCCTTCACTCCCGCAGAAATTGAGCAAGTGGATCCCAATCACCGACTTGTGCTTGAGGTGGTTCGAGAAGCGTTCGAGAGCGCAGGTGAGACGAACTGGCGCGGAAAGAATATCGGAACATACGTTGGTATGTTCTCGGAGGACTGGCAAGACCTAGGGCATAAGGATACCCATGAGTATAATCCCTATAGAGTGCTTGGAGGTTTGGATTTTGCTTTACCTAATCGGGTGTCCTATGAATATGATCTCAAAGGTCCAAGGTATGGCACAATGGCGCACTCTAAGAAATGTTTGTTGGAATGTAATGTCTAACTGTGCGATAGTATGATTCTCAAAAGCGCCTGTTCGTCCGCAGGACTTAGCTTGCATCAGGCGTTACAAGCAATCCGACAAGGAGAGATATCATCTGCAATAGTCTGCGGAAGCAACTTAATCCTTGCACCGGGAATGACAATCAGCATGAGTTTACAAATGGCACTCTCCCCCGAAGGATCATCAAAAACATTTGACGCCTCGGCGGACGGATATGCAAGAGGTGAAGGAGTCACCGCCCTCTACATCAAGCGCCTTGATGAAGCTATCAAGGACGGAAACCCCGTCCGAGCAGTGATTCGAGGCTCAGCGAGCAACGCGGATGGAAAGACCAACGGGTTAGCTCTTCCCAACCCTGACGCTCATGTTGCTGTCATCCGTGAAGCCTACAAAGCTGCTGGGCTTGGGCTTTCAGATACAGCAATGGTGGAAGCCCACGGAACGGGTACGAAGATCGGTGATCCTATTGAGGCAACGGCGATCGGGAAGTGTTTTGAGCAAGGTGTTTACATCGGAGCTGTACGTTTGTACTCTAGGTTTATAGAAGTGATGGTTCGCTAACTGCAAGTAGATCAAACCCAACCTTGGCCACAGCGAGGGAGCCGCCGCATTGACCAGCATCATGAAAGCCGTGCTATCTCTGGAGAATCGCACGATTATTCCGAACATCAAATTCAACAACCCTAACCCATCGAGTGAGAAAATACCGAATGACCAGAGTGAATCATGGAATGATGCTAACTTTTCAAAGTCCCTTGGGAAACTGCAAAATTGACAGTCCCTGTGGAGCCGACGCCATGGCCAACAGATCGTGCCGAACGTATAAGCGTTAATTCCTATGGCATCGGTGGCTCAAATGCTCATGTAAGTCTATCGACTGTTTTAATTGACACAGGAAGCGAATTCTGACTTTATAAGTTTATCATTGATTCAGCGGCAGCTTATGGCGTGCAAGCCTCAGGAACCCACGCTCCTGCCGTCGAAAAGCCCCAGAAAAGCCTTTTACTCTTCTCTGCAAACCACGCCGATGCTTTAAGCGAGATAGCTCGTAATATGGAGTGTTATCTCGCTGAGCACCCAGAGAATTCCAGCGATCTGGCCTACACTCTGGCAGAGAGACGGGAGCATCTGAAATTGAGAAGCTTCAGTGTTGTGGCTGGAAGTTCCCCGGCCTTCCACGTCTCTACGCCCTTTAAATTTCAAGGTCCTCGCAAGGTCGCTTTTGTGTTTACAGGACAGGGTGCTCAATGGTGAGAATGAATTATATCTATACCTGAATTTTTCTGACGGTACACGATGATTAGGGTTAATATGGGCAAGGAGCTCATGCTTGATTACCAATCATTCCTTGAAGACATTAGGTCCATGGACCAGAGTCTGAAAGAACTTGAGCATGCACCACCATGGTCAATCGAAGGTAGTATTGTCCTGTCCGTTGAGCTCCACCCTTGCTAACTTTTAGGCAGATGTTCTGTTGAACTGCGATGACAGAACAATCATTGGCCGGGCGGAATATGCCCAGCCGCTGTGCACAGCCATTCAGTTGGCTCTCGTCAACCTTCTTCAAACCTGGAATGTTGTTCCCTCTGCAGTTGTTGGACACTCGAGTGGTGAGATTGCGGCTGCCTACGCAGCTGGTGTCTTGTCCTTGAAAGAGGCGGTCGTCGCAGCATACTATCGTGGGTATGTCTGCAAATCTCCCCAGCGATTAGGGGGAATGGCCGCGGTTGGCATGTCCAAACATGATGTCATAAAGTACCTTGAACCTGGAGTCAAAGTTGCCTGCGAAAACAGTGGGTCGAGCGTCACTCTATCAGGCGATTTGAAAGCGTTGGAAAGTGCGCTCGCGAGAATCAAGGG